AGGAGATTAAGAATATAAGATAAGCTTGAATAAGAGCTCTAATCTGTCATGGCCGTTTAAGATAATGAAGTTAACTAAAGCTTTTTTTGTAATATATGAAGAAAATGCGGGTTTTTTTAAGTAATCTCCATAGCTAGGATTGATGTGATGACTTTCATTTCGTATGGAATTACATGCTGAAGACCTCAGCTGATTGGCATTGTATTGCAGCCGTTTTGTATTAATACGACGCCCAGGTTAATGCAGCCCACGAACATACTCCAAGGTTACGGGCGAAGACAAGTAGAGCTTTCGTCCTCCATATGGGTTAACATCGTCAAAAGGTGGGACTCATTTTTGCAGAAGCTTCAAGTTAACACGAGGAGAAAAAAATTGACTGAAGTATGCCTGTGTGTGTGTATGTGTATGAAATGTTTGTATCCAAAACCTGTCATAACCCAGAGCAATTATAAAAGAAGCTTAAAGTCCAGCAGCGATGTGTGGATTTATTTTTAACCATAGTCACAATATCGAGATTGGAATTTTAAAATCTAGCATTATTAGGTGTATGAGGCTTGCGGAAGACAATCATCCAAACGAATAGTCATGAAAACAGAAAGTTTTATTCGTGGAGAATAATTATGCTTTGTGCTAAACTAATAATAATATCTCTTTGATGAGAAATTAATTTGCAGGGGTAGACTATTCAGTCAGAGATAGGCAAGGCATAGACCTTGTCTCATGTTCTCATTTTACTAATGAGGAAAAAAGATAGTTTTCAAAACACTCTGACACTTTGTCGAGTTGCGTCTTCTTTTAGAGCAAAATATGACCCGCTATCAAGATCCTGCTTTTACAGCATAGTGTGATCCTGTGGTCAACCTTATGCTGGTGAGACCTGTCGGCCGATCAGCAAAAGATTATCGGAGCACAAAAATTCTGTAAAAGCAGCTTGATCGAACGGTCAAAAATGGCGGACACATGAGATGAGACTGGGCGTGAGATAGAATGGTCTCGTAGGTAGAGGTTTTCTGATTATGCTATACCTGATACGAAAAGCAAGAGCAGATAGGTTATTGAAATTAGTAGATAAAGGAGCGCATTGAATGTAAGGAATGGTAATGGGAAGTTGAGTAAGAATTATTTATGCTCGATTGAAAGATTAAGAGAGTGTGAGGATGTTAAGCCGTCGGTCGAAAGAAGACAACTCAACTTGTAAACTGAGTTATGATACTAACTCGTTCAACAGACATGCAAAGCTCATCATCATTATCCCTGCAATTCTGCTCCCTGCGTCATTAAACCTTCATAACCCAGGCTATTGGGTTCACATATGTGGTCTTCTTACCTAAATTTCACACCTACAGACTTAGATTTCATAAATTTAGCCTAGTGTACTTAGGCACTAACGCAATGCCGGTTATCCTTTTCCCTTTTTCCTTGGGCTATTAAACCTTGAAGATCTGGGCGGACTCTATGCTCTTTTCTCATTACTTTGAGTTATGATCGGTGTTGGATGCAGACATCAACACGCATACAGTGACACATTTGGGTATGTGTGAATTAACCAAACCTTTCTATATCCATCTTTAGTTAAAATTTTGCTCGCAACCTGTTTATATGTTAGGGGTACTTTCATCGAAACCCAGTTTATCTTCGTATCTATACAGCATATATGTTATATAGAAAAAAGTGAATCAGTCTTCCTGTTTTCCTGTTCATTTGATGCTTTTGCAGGAATGCGTCCCAGCTCTGACGATGCTCGCGACATAACTAACGAATGCTCAGTCCGTCTTCGTCAGCAACGTTGGAGGGTGGCTCGTGGATTTCATCAATCTGAGCGGATTCCATACAACGCGGAGCAGCCGACGTCTTCTGATGAGTTTGACCCACGAATCTCTTCATCATGTATCTTCATTCGCAAAGGAATTCTTTTTAAAGTGCTTCTTTTAAAGAAGTTGTTTGACCTTGTTTTCACTACTTGGTCATATTGGTAGGAAGATTTAGAATAACGCACCTAGTTTGGTGTACACTGTATACATGATCATTTCCAGAGTTTGACCGTGGAAGTAGGACATTCCCAGACATTTCGCCGGCATCGTAGTCGGTATTGTCAGTGGGTCTCGCCATTCTAAGCACCACACAACAAATCGTCAAAGAGACAAGTTAAGCCAATCATTTGACCAAACTTGCTCCTCTGCCCTGAACTATTTACATTTTCTATATCCTCCTATCCCGCTTTTTTAAAGATCTGCTGATGATTTCGTTACTCTATTAAATTCGAATAAAAGTTACGCTTTCCTTTGTTGTGGCAAATACATAATTACCTCAGCTAATAACTATGATTTAAATATGATATTGTTTGGCCTAGCTTGTCGCTTGATTCACGTAAATCTTATAACTGAGTTCCGAGTTCATATCACCAATAAAGTTTTACATTTTCTTAGCAAATTTTGCAATCCTAGTACCTGCCCGTTGTTTGGTAATGATAAAAAATTTTGAATAGTTTTAGTCTCAAGTGTTTCCTAAATGGCATCCCTGCTAAAGTCAAGTATACGCTTATATTTTACTATCGAATTTCCTGCTATTTTCTAGGATACGTAAATTCCGTTGCCAGTTTGCAGAGGCAGGAAAATATTAATAATAGTAAAAAATTACCTTTCATCAAACATTTTTGTCAACTCTTTGATACCAAGGCACTTATATCATTTTTATTAAGATGTTCTGCACCTTAACTTCCCTTCTGTTAACTTTTAGCCACACTTTCAACGTAACTAACCGTCTAAGATTAGTTTATAACTGTCACTTCTGCAGGTCAGCAAGCCCAAGATGCTTGTCCTTATCGGTTCATTATAAAGCTGATGGCATGCCCTCCTTGACTGTCGGTCCACATGTGATTTTAACATGAACAGCTTTTCGGTTCTGCATGGACCTCTTTAGGTAGAAGGAACAATCTGTAATTCGAAGAAAAACTTGCTTCCTAAATCTGTCCTAGTGATATATTGTGATAGTACTTTCCATTAAGAAGAAAATGTTGATGGAAGAAATTCGTGATATGTTCCCAATGGAAACCTAAGGAGCATATTTTGTGTATGGAAGATTGTTTTATCGTTTGAAGAAGTCCTCAGATTACCGTCCTTCGACCTCGATGGACCTGTACTAAGCTTTCGTCTGTTAAGCAGCAGAGCCTGAATCGCTACTTTACGAAATTGCTCAAAAATATACTAAGCTACGAGAAAAGGTTACTGACTGCAAGTTGAGTCGCTTTTTCACACATCTAACCTTACAATATTAATGAGGCATCCCATGGTTTTATTGGCGACCCTAAACGTACTCTACAAGAAGCTTATTGATCTAGTGTTAACGTGAGACTTCTACAAGAATGAGTTCCAGCCCTGATGATGTCCATCATATGGTAGACTAAAGCTCAGCCCATTTACATCCAAAGCGAGGCTGGATGTTTCATGGAGTACGTCAACCTGTATATGAGCAAAATAGCTGCAGTACGACGGGATTCAGCCGTCTTCTTCTAGTGAGACCGACCTTTGTATATACGAAGAGAAACTTGGTTTCGATGAATCTCCTGAAATAACATTGTTAAG